AGTAAATAAGTAAACACTTGCACTATTTCGGTTTCGAACCTAAATTAAAAAAAAAAAGTTTACTAAATTCACGTCAACCACGGTGTTTTCCTTTCCTCCATCAACTTCTTCATCTTTGAAAAAAAATTTTGTGGTATTTAGTGACCGTTAATTAATGATTACTTAGAGATCGTGAGGTCTGACATCACACTATTTCACGATTTCTAAATATTCATTTGAAAAAAATTAAAAAATAGCAATTACACCACTAAAACGGATATTAAATGGAGTTTTTTTTTTGAAATTTGCTGGTCTTTAGGTTTGGAAATAGTAGTTTAGAATCCCCACAGTAAGTTTTTTAAAATTGAAATTTTTGTTTTAAAGTTCTGGCTACCAAAATGGTTATTTACTCAATTTTACAAGTTTGATATTTCTCATAACTCATTGGAAATTTAACGCACTTTTCAATGATAACAAAGGATTTGTCCAAAACATTTTAGTTTTGGAGTTATCATTATTTATTTGAAGCAATACCAATCCGTCAACTACGATTTTCCTTTCCTTCATCAATTTCTTCATCTCGGAAAAAGTAATTAAAAAAACAATTGCCCCACTAAAAAGGATATTAAATGAGTACGTTTTCTAAATTTTGCTGGTCTCTAGGTTTGTAAATAGTAGTTTAGAATCACCAAAGTAAGTTTTTCAACTTTGAAAAAAATAAATATTTTTTAAAGTTCTAGGCTACTAAAATGCTTATTTCATCAATTTAGAAGTTTAATATTTCTCATTACTTATTGGAAATTTAACGTAGTTTTAATGATAGCAAAGGATTTGTCCAAAACATTTTAGTTTTGGAGTTATCATTGTTTATTCGAAGCGAGGTCGTGAAATCATAAAAAATCAGAAAAAGAGGAATAGCTCCGATACTGTTGAAATTCGGGCGATAGTTAATTCTGACTTTTGGGTTCCATTTTGAATATAGAAGCTATCGGCAAAGTTTGTAACACGAGTAGCTGAACACCCTGTATATTGAGACAGATACGATTTTTATTTTTTGCACATAAACTTTTTCTTTTACAGTCACACTACTTCTTGCATTTGTTGTTTACTCTCAAGGTATTTAATGACCCTGTTTCTCGAAATACAAAAATTATTTCTCTCGACAATATTAAATCTAATTACTCTCGTCTTATTGAAATTCGCCACCTTTTAATTCTGATTGTAATTGTACCTTTCTATAAAAAACGTGTCCAGTTGACCCAAATGGACTCCGGAAGTTTTGAGTAAGTTAAGCGATCGAAATCGTGAGAGTTGTGAACACGAACGCAGTCCTCTTTTCCAAAAACCTAGACCATTTTAAGGCAGAGTTTATCAACTTAAATTTTCAAGAACTCAGCTGTCTGAAACTCCCTGCACTACGATAGCTATTTAAAGTTAGATGCAAAAAATTGCTTTTAAATTCTGTGCCATGGAAGCATGACGATGAAATTGCACTGGTAAGTTCTGTAATCTAAGATTAAAGCAGGATATTTTTCATTTTGTTGCCTAATTTCCCATATTGTCAGAGTTTTGAATTCTTATCTAGAACATAGATCGCTGTGTAAGGTCTCCTAAACATCCTAGTTGTTGCATAATTTCAAGGGTTTGCAATATATGCAATATATGTAGCTACGAGTTTAGTGATGTTTAATTAATTGTTTCCTTTGTATTCAGTGTTTTTTTTATAATTTAGTGCCCAATTTTTCAATCCTGATAGTTAAAATAATTATATTCATACCCAACTAGTGGCAAACGGAAAACCATCCATGTCGTATACAACTTTATAAATGTTCAATACTTTATTGAAGTCGTAAGGAGCGGTCAAGAATGAGGCAGTTTAGAAAAACTCCTTTTTCGTTTTTTTGCCGATGTTTCGACCTTTATTCGAGTCATCTTCAGAGCATAAAGTGTGGTGCTTATTCTTGCAGTATGTGTCTATAAATCAATATGACACCACAATAAGCACCACACTTTATGCCTGAAGATGACCCGAAAAAAGGTCGAAACGTAAGCAAAAAAAATTAAAAACGTGTTTTTTCTTGACCGCTTCTCACGATTTCAACAAATAATGAAACAACAGGTCAGTAAGAAACACACAGTGTTCAATTGTGTTTCTTTCTTTGTCGAAAGAGAGTGTGGTATCTACCTACCTACCTATTTATCTATCTATCTATGTGTCTATCTATCAACCTCCCTATCTATCTATATTTCTATCTACTTAGTTTGCTACCTAACTCATTGTCGTAAAAAAATCATCCGTATTCTGCAAATTATTCTCAAGCATAATAACTGTTTTTCCCAATATTTCACGTATAACTGTAAAGCTGGTCTTGGTTCTATAGGCTCCTAAATAATTCGTAGAAATATCAGAAGGTGCAGCACTCCAGTCGGGCGGGTTTTGACAAATGTTAATCCAGAATGTCCATTTCTTCCCGTCTGCTATGTGTAACGAGCTCATCCTCTAAATGCTTTATTGGTTGGGTTTAATAATGTTCTGGGCATGTTTTCGCAGCAATATAAGAAAACGTTACTTTTCGCCACTTTTTGTTCAGATTAAAGGAAAATTCTTGTATAGTTCAGTATACAATTCTTTCTCTTTAATTAACCATAAGATGGATTATTGAGGGTAGACATCTATAGAAAAGCTGAATAGCATGGGAATAGGATTTCATCATGGCTTATTTGGATTTCATCACCGAGCTCGAAGCCCAGAAATCATCAATATTATGAGCAATAGAGCCGAGTATAAATCCATGTTATTAGATTTTAATTTCCGGAAAGAAATCTTTTGTCTAATTGCTTCTTAATGCGGGGCCGAATCCGTGTCCGGGCCGAAATGGGTCGGTCCAGTTACCTAGGTCGGATGATGACGGTCCGGATGATGGCGTAGATGGTGATGATGATGTTTCGGTTAAACCGCTCTTCTTTGGAACCGTGTCAACTCGTTTTCTAATACCGAACCCGAATGGTTTTCACTCTTTCGACGGAGGAATAGACGAGGTGGCCGATTTCTGCGACCGCAGAATGACATTACATATTTCCTGTCTTGCCCGGTGAAATGACTTTAAATTGATTTTCAACGGGGGGCGATTTCACAACAATCATTTCTTTTTTAAGGTTAAGATGAAAAATGAGCAAATATGTAGTCTTCCATAGACCTTCCGACTAATTGGAACCATTTTGTGCCCGTAGTCGCTCTTTTTAGGCAATTTCGTATTTACCTATCTTTGCAAATGTTTGGTTTTACTCGTAAATAATAGAAATAAATATACAATACCGAATTGGTTTTTACAATAATACAGGGTAAACCAGTCTACAAAACCCACAAAAGCAGCTAAGTTCCTTAATGTAGGAGATTATATAGCAATTGGTGCCTTTTTGTGATAGTTTTTTTTTAGTTTTTGTATTTGTGGCCTGCTTGCAGTGTTGTTCTAATCTAAATTGATTCTTCTTTTAAATAATCAGAAAATCGTTAGGCTAAGTAGAGCTAGGGTTAGGTTAGATAGGGTTAGAGTTCGGAACGGGTTAGATTAGGTAGAGGTAGGGTTAGGGACGGTTTAGGTTAGTTCATGTTAGAATTAGGGATGGATAAGATCAGGGTAGAGTTAGACTATAGACAGGTTAGGCTAATTAGGCTTAGAGTTAGCGACTGGCTAGGTTAGTTAGAGTTAAGGTTATAGTCGGGCTAGGTTAGGTATAGTTAGAATGTGTGGTGATTAGTGACCGTTAATCGATAATTATTCAGAAATCGTGAGATGCGGTCTGGTGTGATGTAGGTTTCAGAAATACATTTTCTTTATCGTGCTAACGTTTCGATCTTTATTGAGATCATCTTCAGGGCTCGAAGGGTTTGTCTTCCGTGTAATTGTGCCATTCTCTCCATAATTGTGGCACCCTCAACACGACACGCAAGAATGGCACAATTACACAAAAGACAAACACTTTGAGCCCTGAAGATGATCTCAATAAAGATAGAAACGTTGGTACGATAAAGAAAATGTTTTTCTGAAACCGACATTACACCTGACCGCATCTCACGATTTCTGAATAATTATATTTAGAATTATAGACCGGCTGTGTTAGTTAGGATCAGAATTCGGGAATAGTTAGGTTAAGCGGGATTTGGGTTAGCGTAAGGTAGAAAGATTAGCGGGATGGGTTAAGTTAGGTATGGCTAAGGGCACGTTAGGTTAGGTAGATTTAGAGTTAGGGACAGTTTAGGTTAGTTAGGGTTAGAATTAGGGACGGGTTAGGTTAAGTAGAGATATGGTCACAGACGGGTTAGGAAAGGTTAGTGACTGGAATAAAAAAATTGTGTTGACATTTAAAAGGAAACCAACTAGCTTTCCCCAAAGTTCAAACTTTAAATCTTTTTTGGTCCGTGTCTGGCACAATTTCTTCAACAGAGCTATTTCAGGAATGGCTGACTAAACCTAGGCAAACTCAAACTGAAAAATCATTTATTTTCTTTTAAGAACTACCATCTTTCTTAAAACTTTTGTTTCTTTATAAAAAATAAAACAAATAGGCTTTACGTTTAGTATGTGGTTGTAACATTAGCAAAAATAATGTACAACATTTACGCGTTAAATATTTAAAATATAATCTGTGAGCATAAACCTTAGAAGTATCCATCTTGGATCTCATCAATATTTTCATTTATTCGTAATAGCATCACGCTAAAGGAACCGTAGAGGCATAAATATGTACAACCAGGTGATCGATTGTTGTTTGTTTATGAATTATTGAACAGCGTACGTACTAGCCGTTTATGTCATGATTTTGCAAGGAAATGGACAAAATAACATATACATAAATAAAACTGACCTCAAAACAGTTTGACCCAAATACGGCTTGTGCTTGTAACATATATTTTCAAGATACATCTCTTGGTTCATGCTATCGTTTCACATAAAAGATGAACAATGACACATCTCCAATAGTTGAAATTTTCATTTCTAATCTGTTTTTTTTCTTTTTAGGGCAGATAGCTGCGGCGGGTTTTGCATGCGACGTTCAACCGCAGATCATCTGGCGAAGCCCAATCAGGTATGTGGCGTTCTGAGAAAAGCCGTTCAAGCCCCTACCGAAGCAATTAGCCGTGTTCCGTCCAAAGCGGAAACACCGATAATTAGTCGAGATACACTCTGAACGACTCATGCTATTCTGGAGATGAGTCAGAAGGAAAATTGAAGAGCCATGCCACAATTCCAAAATTATCTTCTTTAAATTATATTCTTCACTTATTGTTTATGTTGCAGTGCTACGTAATCTCGTCACAAACACGTTTTACAAAGGATCAGAGACTCTATCCATGTCTGATACATTTGAATTCGGCTGCCTGTTTTGCGAATCGATGAGTTTTATAATTTCTTCTATTTCCAGTGTGTGCTTTCACCCATTACAAACCTATCTTCCATCCCATAGCGTTAAGCGTTCTCCCAAGATGTCTTATGCTTTGGACTACTAGCAAGTGATTGCGTAGATCTCTAAATATAACAAATGAAAAATGGCAAAAGGGGGGAAAACTCATAAGGTGGGGTTGAGATGGGGAGTTGATGTCCGAGTGGATCGAGGTCACGATAGCTCAAGTGGCGGCGTATCTAGCCGAAGGTCGTAGGTTCGAATCCCTCTCGTGCCATAAGCTTTTTTTCATCTCAACTAAAAACCTTAATTAATTGTCATCTAAATACAGCAATAAGTCTCCAACTGCAATCCTCCCTAATCCTATTCCAACCTGAACTAACACTAATTATAGTTACTTGACCTAAATTAAACCTACACCTAACCTAACCTGACCCGTACCTAAATCTAACCCTAATCTTAACCTTTTCCATAAACCAACCTCCTAAACTCAACCTAACCACAACTTAACTCTGACATAATTATATGTAACCCTACCCAAATCTAACCTACCTCTCTTCTTAATATAATATAAATAATATATATATATATATAATTATGCAGGGTGGGCGACCAAGACCCGAGGGGTTAAACGCCTGGGTCGACTCGTACCCCATCCATAAAAGGTCCGGTACTTGGTCGGTGTCCTGCATAAACCTCTTGGACTTGTTCACAAACCCCAAGATTTTGGACCATTTTATCTCGGGGAGTGATTTGGTGATGCCCTCTCCTTCAAAGTTCAATCTAGACCTAGCATACCTTGCCGTTTCTTCTTTTATTTCGCAAAAACGGCAAAAAGGATCTGGTAGAATACCCATTACAAAGTGTCTTCTCAGTGGGCAGTGGCCCGTCAGAATACCTATCAGCCTCCTAATTCCCTTCCTTGAGATAGAGAATAGCCATTTCTATTCTGCTGGTTTGATCGCCTTAACAATCTCTCTCGATTGCCTGTGTCCGGGGGATAAATTCCACTCCGTAAGGAATTGTTTTATGCCTCAGTTATTAATACTCTCTTTCGCTGTGCTCATAGAGTGAGGTAATACCGGTTGTGGCACGACAAACGCAGTATTAGAACCTTCTTTGGCTAGGCCATCCGCCTCTTCTTTGCCATGGTGTCCTATATGTGCTGGTATTCAAATAAGGGTTACCTTGTTCTCAAACCTGGAAGAGATCCTATTGATAAGATCTGCAGTTTCCTCCACCAGTCGTGAGGTTGATAAATCTTTTTGTAATCCCCTAAGACTAGCCTGACTGTCAGAAAAAATTCTAATATCTTTTCCCTTAATTTTATTTTCCATAAGTGTTTTACAACACACATTAATGGCCCAGATTTCCGCCTGAAAAACGGAGGTGTTATTACCAAGAGGGGAGGAGATGCTGATTCCTAATTTTGGTATGTAGATTCCTGCACAACCCCCTCTACCTTTGTTAAGTGATCCATCTGTGTAGCTTAAAAATGAGAGAAATTCTAGAATGTATCAGGGGAAGCGAGTAGAGTCCCACTATATTTTACTTGATGTAACACAGCAGACTCAATGAAAATCGGAAAAAATCGTTCTTAAACAAGACGGTGTATATTCTACAAAAAGAAAATCCCGATATAGTGATCGGGAGTCTGTGGTATTATACTTAATAAATATTTTAGGCTAATAAAACTTTCGTACCCTACGGAATATCTTTGAATTTTATGTTAAACTGATCTAAGCATTGCCCCATAAAATTTAAAAAGAATGTTCTTTTTTCAACATTATAAAATTTAATGCTAAACATTGCTAACAATTTCTTTTCAATTAATTAATCTTTAATTAAGGTTTTGGTTGAGATAAAAAAGTCAGTGTCACGAGCGGGATTCGAACCCACTGACTTTTTTAAAATTGAAGAATTTATTTGGTCAATCGGATCAAGAAACATAATAGATGTATTTAGCAAAATGAAGTATACACTAAAGCACTCCGTGGCCATTTCATTTTCGCCGAGAATCGAATAGATTACACGACATTTGAAAAATGGCAAAAAGGAGGGAAAATGCAAAAGTTTAGGGGTTGAGTTGGAAAGTTGGTGTGCGAGTGGCTCGAAGTCACGATAGCTAGTGGTAGAGCAGCGGTGTAAATAGCCGAAGATCGTGGGTTCGAATCCCGCTCGTGATACTGACTTTTTATCCCAACCAAAGCCTTAATTAATTGAAAAAAATTTATTTGGTCAATCGGACCACGAAACCTAATAGATCTAATAAGCAAAATGAAGTATACTTCTCTAAAGCTCTCCATGGCCATTTCATTTGTCGCCGAGAATCAAAGAGATTACACGTCTTTTGAAAAATGGGAAAAAGGAGGGATAATTCAAAAGGTTGGGTTGATATGGGAAGTTGGTGTCCGAGTGGATCGAAGTCACGATAGCTCAAGTGGTAGAGTAGCGGAGTATTTAGCCGAAAGTCGTGGGTTCGAATCCCGCTGGAGACACTGACTTTTTTATCTCAACAAATACCTTATAGAAAGATTAATTAATTGCTAACAATGTAACATTTACATAATATTTTCTTTAGTTTGGTAATTTTAAGTCATTTCTGTGTCTATTTTGGGCGAAAAGATCAAAACAACCAGTACAATCAGATCAAAATGATTACCCGCAAATCTCGTGAAGAAATCTCGCAATTGTATATTTTGGTGTATGACGTTATATTTTTCTTTTAATTAATTAATCTTAAGGTTTTGGTTGAAATGAAAAAGTTAGTGTCACTAGCGGGATTCGAACTGACGACCTTCGGCTCAATACGCCGCTGCTCTAACCACTTGAGCTATCGTGGGACCACTAAATGTAATTATTATATTTTTCTTTCGAAAATCGATAATACAATACAAAGTCATATCCGATACCGGTGTGCTTTGTGTACAATTGAAATCTAAGCCATTAAAATAGAGAGTCCCGGACTCGGAGCGAACCCCCCCTATTATCTACAATTGTTTAATAACTAAACTCATTTCACTCCAGACTTGGAGCATCGAAATTATCCTGGATTATTAACCCCCGGAATGGCTGATGTCGAATATTCACAGTACGGCACTAATCGGGTTGATACCTCGTTATAGCCCTTTCCCGGATGCAAATGCCGTCCTAGAACTCCTGATAGTCTCGCTTTACCAATTGTCTTTTAACTCTTTTTACAAACGAGGCTATTAGGACCGCGAAGTAACGATCTTATCGTTAGGCTGTAGGTAAATTTTGTTTGTTTAAGTATTAAAATGTTAAAGTATTTAACATTTCAAGTCTGCTTTTATAAATTAGGGCTGGTATTTATGTTGTATTCAATACATAAAGTTCTATATATTTTAGATATTCTCTTTTCATTTATTCATTGAGCTAATTAATTTTTGAACTGATTACACCATCTGTGCCTTTTTTGGTTTTGTCTCACCTATCCCATATCTGACTTTTTGCAGCTTCTTGGCTTGCATTTCTATAAAGCTTTTGGGTTTATAGACGGAAGATATGTTCTTTCTGTTGTCAATTAGACGGTCGCATTTCGCTCCACCTGTCAACCTCTTAGTCACAGTATGTCACTGTGTCCGGGATGGGCCTCGCGGAGGCGGCTCACTCGGGATTTTAGGAGGAGGAGGAATAGGCTTTATATTTTCTGTCATTTGTTCTTTCTTTCTATTAATCATAGACATCACACTGCAAAGGCATTGACTTATGTTAGGCCGGCTATCGTTTTTGCCTCATGATGGCTTTCCACATTTTTTCGGTAGCCAAGTACCCAGCACGGCTGGATATGACGCGGCGTAAGGAGTCCATGCTAGCCTCATCAACATTGGATTCGTACATCCATCTCGTCCGGATGACTGTGTACTTTTCGCATACTAAGGCCACATGTTTCAAGCATGCCGCACTAGCACAATGGACTGTCTTTCTGTCCAAATCCATGGAGCTTGGCTGAGAAGTCCCCATGCCATGATAAACTGATTAAACCGTAAATGCTAAATAACAAATAAACCATCGATGGATAAACGTCTAAGTAGTCGAATGATTCTCTCTCTCTCTCGCTCTCTCACTCTCTTTCTCTCTCTGAGGAATATGAAACTTAAACAAATAAAAAATAAATAAATAAAATAAAAAAAGAGCTAAAAGGTCCAAATATATAAATATTCCAGATAGATACAAAAAAATCAAAGCTATTGGAATCATGTTTCCATTAAGGTCTTTGGCCAAAAGCAACAGAAACTGAAGATGCGACTATGACTCAAATAAATTGTTTGCAAAGACCAAGCATAATTAAGGATGGGGGATTTTTTGCAATATTTCTCTTAGGTGTTCAAAGGCTAGTTGACCATCTGATTTCAGAATATTCGAGCACTGTTTTCGTTAGATTCAAGGAATGAATTCGTTGTGATAAGGTACTGCGCCTAAAACTCTCGTTAGTTCTTTTAGGTTTTTGGGAATTTAAATTCTCTTAATTGCCTCAACTCTTGAAGGATCTATTGATATCTATGATACACCAACTGAATTATATGAAATTATATGACCCATACATTTTATTTAGGTTTTAATTGATTGAATTTTATCCGGATTAATAGTCAATCGTGACTTTTGTAAAATTGTGGACACATAATTCACAGGCTTTAAATGCGTTGAGAGTTTTGGGAAGTAAA